CTCATATCAAGGCATGGAAAAATATATATCAGAAACGTAATTAAACCCTAGAATTTTTGGTTAAATTGGTGTACCTAAAATTTTGCTACTTAATTTATGTGTCAGAGATACCATTACCTTGTAATGACTCTTCGCTATTATCTTTTTTTCTGATTATGAGTTAAATAGAAAACTAAACAGATAACTATGCTCTGCTATACTACGCATTAGAAGTTGCTATGCTCCTCCGTGACAGTAAACCTTTTAGCAGTCAAATAAGATAACATATTTTTGGTTAAATTGTCATGCGTCATATGTGATCTGATGACAGAAATCGGCCACACACTAATGTGGCCAAAATTATGAAATCAGCCATACACTAATGTGGCCAAAATTATGAGATTGGTTATACACTAATGTGACCAAAATTATTTTTTGATTAAATTTGAGATTTTGGTTAAAAAAAACGATTTTTGTATCTATATATAGAAGTTATCAGGAATAAGTTAAAAAGTTTAAAATCTATAGAATAAATTAGAGTTAACCAAAATTTTTTCATCGTGTACCTAAAAGGCTCATTATTCTACTACTTTTTGCAAAACATTAATATAAATTTTATTTATAATTTTTTTAAATAAAAAAAATGAAATTTTTTCTTTTTAATAAATCCTTTTTATACAAAAATTTTTGTGTAATCTTTGAAATTCTTTTAATTAAACTTGTATTTTTATACAATTAAGTTATTGTGCTTTTAAACAATTTAATATTTTTATTAAAAAAAAAAGTTTTTTCAATTGTCATTAAAATGTTTTTTTTGCTTAAGTTGCAAAAGTTTTTTTATGAGCAGTAGTAAGTATAATTGTCTTTAAAAATAATTCTTTTTATAATTCATTTTTCAAATATCTTTAAATAATTAAATATAATACTTTAATATTAATATTTGTTAATTTATTTGTTAAAGTTCTTATAGAATGTCTAATTATAATTTAAATATTGACTATTTGCTTTTGATACAGTATATAAAAATAATTTTTTTAGAACAATCTTTATTTAGTTTTTAAATTTTTCCCTTTAAAGTTTAATTTTTTAAGATTGCTATAAATATTGACATATTTATAGCAGTTCTAAAATATTTTTTATTTGAAAAAGTAATTTTACTATTCTATAAAATATAAAAAGTTTATAAGAATTTGGTTATAAAAAAATAAATCAATAATTTAAGAGTATATATTAATTTAATAAAAATATATTATAATTATAATTTTTACATAAATTGTTTTAATTTTGAAAAGTTATTTATTAATATTAATATTTAATTTTAAATTTTAATTACTTATATAAAATTTTCAATATTTTAATCTTAATTAATCTATTGATTTCAATTTTAAAAATTTTTTATCAACTTTTTATTATAAATTCTTATTGACATATTAATATTTACTAATACTTTTGAATTATATATATATATTTTTATCTAAAAATTATATTATATAATTAAATATATTATATTGTTTTTCTATAATTAATAATATTTTTTTTAAACTTAATTATAGAATCTTATTTTGATACTTTTATTTAATAACATATAAGACTTTGGAATATTGAAATTTTTTTTTTTATTTATAATATTGACAAAAAATTATATTAATATAAAACCTTTATTGGCTTGGCATAATCCATATATGTCAAAAAACATAAAATTATAATAAAAAAAATTAATAAAAAAATATTTTTTAACCAAATTTTTTAATTACAGTATTTTAATTATTTCAAATTATATATATGTTTATATTTATACACATTTAATTTTTAAACTATTTTATGTGTTTAATTATTATTAAATTTTTGATTCTAAAAAATAATTGATTACCGTATATCAAAATATAGAAAAAACAAATAAAATATATTTTTAGTTGTGTTGTACAATACCAACCCAATAATGTAATTAATTACTAAAATAATTAATAGTATTAGATAAATAATAATAATAATAATTAGAAAATAAGAAAAAATCTTTTTTATTGGTTTATTTTATTTATTGTGATAAATAAAATAGACGAGAATTTTCTTTCTTTATTAAAAAAAATTTTTTTAATGTGTATACTTGTGTCATTTTTTTCTTTTACAATTTCTATAAATAAAGAGATGATATAATTTGAATTTAAGATGTTATTTGTAAAAATAATTTTGCAGACGAGGATCCTATTTATTAAACATTGAGGATTTAATTTACATTTAATAATTTAATGGTTAGTAAATTATTATTTCCATAAAATCAATCTAGAGAGAGGTCTTGTGCTGTTAATAGTATGTCGGATTGAATAGGTTTATACAACCAATTATCTCTATAATTATGGTTCGATATGATTTACAGTGATGCTAACTTGGTTGCGGAAAAAGAATAAACAATAAAACTTATCATAAATCCAATCTTAATAACCAGTTCCGGTCTCTATTGATGACGAATGAATATGTTTGACAATGAAAGAATATTAAGATTTTATTTATATTTTATACGAATTTTTAATGAATCATAAATAACAATGTTTTTCTAAATGTAAATTAAATTTCTAAAAAATAATAACTAATCTATTTGTTTACTTTTAATCTCTCTTTTTCTTGGTTAATTAATTTGACTAGTGTGTTAGTATTGTTAATATTTTTTAATATTTCATCAAAAATCGGAAATTTTTCATCAGCCTTTTTTTCATAACCGACAATTTCTTTAATAGCGGGTAACAATGGCTGTGATTCATCAACATTTTCAATTTTCTTGACATATTTTGCAAGTTCATCAACGGAAACTTCGTAATATCTGGAAAAAAAAATTTTGTGTTAGAAACTGGTGGAATTAATCTTCTAAAAAATGGAGATGGATGTGAAGTATTTATGAAACAATTACAAAATTTCCGGAAACCAATTTTTCTTTCTTCTTTGATGGGGTAACATCCAAAAAAGTTCAATATCCGCCAAAATCTACAAGTGAAGATTATTATCGATTTGATACGTAAAATAATGTCAACTAATCATAAATAAAAAAAAGAAACGAAAAAAATCATACCTCTCCCCTTAAGTGCAAAAGCGACTCTTCATTAAATGTATCGTTTATTGCCGTGTTAAGTAATCCAATCAATAAATTCATTAGATAAATTGCAGTGAAAAATGAAAACACAACTAATATTAACGCTAATGTCGGATTGTTTCCCAGAGTCCATGATGAGACCGAACTTCTGTCTCCTGATAATGTTTAAAAAAAAATTAGTAGAGTAATAATTTTTATTTAATAACATATGTGTAATTATATCATACTATACCCGTTAACATGAAATAAACAGCTAATAAAGCAGTATCAAATAGTGAAAATGGGTTTGTGTTTTCATCTGGAGTTGCAACAAGAGATTGTTTTCCAATAACTCCATCGGCGGAAATGGATTGATATCTGGCTACAAGATTCCAAGGATTGTTACCATCATCGGTGTAACTTGGTTCATCATATGAATATTCAGTGGTCGGTCTTAATAGGAGGTGTAAAGAATGGGAAAATGCCAAAACAATAATACCCAAGATTATAATAAAGTAGTAAACTTTTTTTATCACTCCGACCATAATTGCAAAATAAGCTCCGTAGTGATCAAGAGCACGGAGAAAAATTAAAAATCTGAGTTCAAGTACGAGTGTTGATATAACAATGATCCATAATGGCGGACTCCTGTCAAGCAGCCATATAAACGAAGTTATTGTTGGAATAACTATTGCGGCAATGTCTGAAAATGAAATTAAGCCAGGACTTAGTATAATAGATGTTGTGCATTAAATAATAATAATTATACGAACCAAACCAGTTCCAAGGACTTTGAATGTAATTTTTTTTTGGAAAGTGGATGAATTGTCGAACTTCGAAGGTAAACTGAAAAATCCCCCAAAAAATTGTTGTCACCAAAAGAGCTTCCTGGCACCTCCATGAAATATTCTTTTGTGGAATTGTTGCGATCGTGACAAAACATAGTAAGAATATCGAGTAAATTGCCCACATCAAATAGTAATACATTTTCCCATACGCGTTCCACTTAAAGTTAACAAGAGCTTTGATGTTCGGCCATTTATAATACTCTGGAGAATCTAATGAAGTAAAAGAGTTGCCGTTTGGAAAAATCAACTCCCTATAGATAGAATAGTTTTCCTTGGGGTAGGTGGCAAAATTCAGTAAGGGTACCATTAATTTATAGGTTTTTTTAGAAGATGATAAGGTATTGTTTTTTTTTGGCCAGAAGGATAGGCGATCGAAAGGTGATGTGTTAAATGAATATGGTAGAGTTTTGTAAGGGTCTGTGTGAATTGAAGTAGACGATTTATCCTCAAGATAATTGTAACTATTAGGAATTAATAATGCGGTTTTGAATAAAAAATTTTCTGTAAATCTATAATTTTTGTTGAGTGCTTCTAATTCTAAAAGATTATAAGTAATTATATCTAATGACTTGATAAACTTGGAAATAAAATTAACTTGCTGAAAATCGGATAAACTATTATTGAGAATTAATTTAAAGAGTTCCTCACTTTCTTTAACTCTTTTCATTTTAATAAAATCTCGGAGAAGGTCTCTTCCGTGTAATTCCAGAAATGGGATATTATATGTATATCTATGTAACAACTCACCATGTGAAATACCTTGATCCTTCTTTATTTCCGGACCGAATTGATCTTTCTTTATCTCCGGACCTATTATTATATCTTGTTGCTTCCTTATTACTTTATACACTATTTTTTTTTTATGCTTAATAATTTGGTCGAAATATGGAGAAGGTAATGAGCTTTTAGAATCTTTAGAATCGAATTTTTTCTTCAGTAAAGTAAGTTGTTTGATAAAAGCTTCTTGTTTCGTTTTCGATTCGTAATACGTATCCAAATGGGCCCAATAATGAAGTAATTCAATGCCGTCGGATTTAGCATTTACTTTCCAGATATGTATGCCAGAAGAGGAAATTAACATCAAATCTTTGCTTTTAAGTAGTTTAAATTCTACATGAATTTTATTTTCATCAATCGTGCGTAAAAGAACATCTACTTTTCCGATGACCTCTTCTGTATTGGACTGCTTAGCTGTTAATCTAGCTACAAAATCATTGTTGATCTTCTCGTACTCAACTCTCCAATCTCCATAACTTCCTGCAATGAGACCTTGAGTCATGCTTTGGTTTGGTTGGCGTGTTTTTAAAATATCGCTTATGATATCTTTTATTTCTTCTCCGTAACATAAATCAATTTTTTCATCTTTCCCAGGTTCGCTTTGTATGTCATCTTCCAATTCCAGATTCCGAGATAAACTTTCGATTTGTAAACGATCATGAGACCGTTGTATAATAAAATTAGGAACCATGAAATCATTTTGCGCCGATAAAACTACCTTTCTTGGATTTTTTGATTTCGAATAAGTGCTTAGATTGATAGCATAGAATGAGTGCTCCTCTTCAAAATAAACAAGCAGAAGTTCCCCTTTCTCTGACAAAATAAAATTCATAATGCCAAAACCGGTTCCATCAAATGATTCTATTAAACGTACACAGTATATAGGTTAGTAATATAAAGGGATAAATTACTTAGACAACTTAGACATAAATAGTACTTATGATATGTACCAGAAATATTGGTGAAAGTTTCATCAAACGATTCTGTTAAATAAATTTATACGTTAGTAATAAATTTAGAAAGTTTACTTGCTTGTACACAGCTAGTACTTACCATCTGCTATCATTGTACCAGATTCTGTTGAATAAAAATAGATTTTTGATTTCCCTTTCGGCCTTTCATATCCAGCTACTGCCAATAATTTACAATTTTTGTTCAGCACCATCCCAATCGATTCCCAAGAAATAGTCAAATTCCAATTTAATTCGTATTGTGCCTCAAACTTTCGTGTCACCAAGTTCCATTGCATGATTACAAAAGGCACATCTAAGAGAATCAACACTCTTTCCTTAGAAATAATGCAACGTTTATATTTTACGAGTTTAACTCGATTCACGCAGCGCCACTGATTTTTGTTATTAGAAAAGATGTGGACCTGATAAACAGGATCCCCCTCAACAATTACTAACTCTCCATTTTTGAGAAATCTAGAACACTCGATTTTTCCTTTCAAATCTTCTTGTGCATTCAATATTTTTATTGGAGTGTTTCCTGAATCTCTTATTTCTATTAAAATAATTATATGCAATATTATTAAAAAAAAAAGGAGAGGCTAAAATAAGGCCTTAATATTAACTCCAAACTTACCGAGAATTAAAGAATTCTTACAACAACTTCCTATAAGAACATCCTTGGAATCAGAGACCCTAATTGGTTCCATCAAGTCTATTTTTTTTAAATCTAATGAGTGACTAAACTTTAATTCGTATTCTCCATTCTTTTTGTCCGGGAACTTCCACACGCAAACAGAACTATCCTCCAAACTTGCGGTTGCAACATACTTCATGTTTGGTGAGCAAACAACACGTGTTATTTTTTTTCCATGGTGTGGTGTGATTGTTTCATCAATCAAAATTCGGTGTTCTTTGGGAACTGTTTCTCTCATTTTTTATAGAATATTAATTTGACGTACATTCATCGATGCGCTTATTTATAAAGAATTTCTGATATTTAAATTCGGGATTTTTTTTTGACACACTGAAATAAAACATAATTGTATTACAGTACTAAATGTACACCGAAATTTCATTGGTAACAAGGACAAGGACCACGTGTCAAACAAGGTTTTAGCGTTGAATGTAAAAGTAGAATGTGCAACCGTCTGGTTTGTTTTTTTTTTGTTTTTTTTTAATAACAACGAAACAAGTGCGTTAACGTTATTTTCTGTCATTAAAAACAAGGTACGTAAACTTATTACTTGTGTAAATCCATTACATAAATGGGTGTGCATTATATCCGTTTTTAGAAATCATAAAAACATTCGTTAGACAAATTAGTAAGTGGTTATCACAATTGAGAAAATCAAATGATTTTTATGGAAAAACGTGAAAATCCAATCGTAGCATTCGTCAAACCACCCCTGGTTAGATGTTAATTACGAACATATTAAATGAACCTCTGAACTAGTAATAAAGGAACATGTATAAAATTTATCGTCTTACGTTTATTGGTCTTTAAAATACATTGTAACTTAAAAGCTAATAATAATAATAATAATAATAATAATAATAATAAGTAACCTGTTTAAAGAACAAAAACGTAATTTAACTTTTGTCATCTATTATATTTTCTTTGTTTTATTATTTATGTAATTGTCATGTTTTAATCTTTTAAATATAGTATAAGATTATCTATCCCTTTTGTACAAGATATTAAAAACCAAAACCTAAAAACTAATTAGAATTGCAACGAATTTAAATTTTTTCTTTTTTTTATAAATATCAAGTTTCTCTTTTGCTAATGTAAGTATAAAAAACTTACATGCTTATAGATGTGTGATCTATACTAATTGTCATATGATTTATTAGCATTATTAATGAAATTAATATTATTTTAATTATTTTAATAATTTTGACAATTATCTTTCTTTTGACTATTTGTAAATATTTTTTTCTTATTTTAACAATTTTAATAATAAAAAAATATATATTTAAATAAAACCAGAAATCTTAAAAAAACTTGAAATTTTTATTTTAACTTTAATTGCTATTGAAATTTCAAATCTTTGAAATTGTATAAATAATATGAATTGATTATTGTTATATTTACAATAAAAATTTAAAAATTGTTTTAATAATTGTTTGCAATTGCAATTGGTTTTATATTTATAAATAAAAAGAAATACCATTAATTATATTTTAAATTTTAAATTAAATTTCTATATGTCTTAAACAATGAAAATAATATAATCACATTATTTTTACTTGGTTTAGGTTACAGTATTTTCTCTCAATCTTGATGTGTAGAGTCAATTACAAAACTCAAGTCACTTGAATAATATACTTTAATAAGTAAACAATTTATATATTCTTTAAAATATCAAATTCAATATCTATAATATTTTAAGCACTTATATAAATTTTCATATATTAGCTTAATGTTTTTTATCAATTTTCATTAAAAAAAAAATTATAATTTATATATTATTCAATAATCAAAAAAAATAATATGTTATAATTTAAATTTTTAATATAAAGGGTGGACAAAAGTTTATGAATAACATTTTTTTTTAAAATAAAATTTAATTTAAAAACTAATTAAATTTTTTTAATAAAAATATACTCAATATATAAGTGCAACATATTCGATTTTTAAAAATGTATCATTATATAAAAAAATTTTTTTTATTTACTTGAAAATTTCACTTCAATTTTGCATAATCACTAATACCTGCTAATAAAGAATTAACTTCTGAACAAAAAGCAGCCATAATTTATTGTTATAAAAAAAATACCTATTATAATATCACAACCAATGTTAGATGCAAAAAAAGTGTGATAGGTAATATTATAAATTGTTTTATTGAAACTGGATCCACGAAGTCGCAAACATGACAATCAAGATGACTATAACTCCTCAATAAGCATGCTTGTACCACTTTAAAAAAACTTGTTACCGGCAAAAAGGGTAACAGATGTATTACTGTCACAAAACTAACTAATCTTTTTATAATCAAAACAAGAATCCAAGTATCCAAAAAAACTATCTGTTAAATCCTATATGAAGAACAGTTAAGAAGCTGTATTACTCATCCCAAGTCCTTTCTTTTGAAAAAAAATATTGAAGACTGACTTACTTGGTGCCTTACACATAAAGACTGAACCATTCGGGACTTCAAAAAAGTAGTCTGAAGTGACAAATCTATATTTACTCAATTTCAGCAAGGAAATAAATATTATGTTTGGCATAGTTTATGCGAAGAGTGGAATACTGAATACCTTTTTATCACCGTTAACCATAGCTTAAGCTATATACATTGGAAGTGTTTTTCATAGTTCAGTATTGATCCTCTTGTTTCTCTTCACACCTCAGTTAAAGATAAGATAAAATGTTTATTAAATAAAAAAAAATTTTTTTTCAATTTACTGTAAAAAAAAAAAATTAAATTTATCTTTTTTTCCTTATAGCAAAATTATATATCACAACTCTTCAAGATCATCTTTTGCCAACCCTTCAAATTTTTGATGGAACCAATTGGGATTATAGTGGTCACCCTTGGTTTCAACATAATAATGCAAGGCCACACATCATGAAAATTACAAAGAAGTTTCTTACTAATAAAAATATTTGGGTTATGGATTGGTCTTCTCAAAGTCCAGATCTTAATCTGATCGAAAACCTCTAGTATTATATTAAAGTTTGGATTCGCAAGACCAAATCTAATAATTTAATAGAGCTCAAAAATTGTGTTTTAAAATATTGGAATGAGATCGATCTGACATATTGCAAACAATTGATCAAAAGTATGTCACATCGTATTATGGCTTGTATCATGGCTAAGGGAGAGCTACAAAATATTAAAAAAAATATAATCAATTACATAGATATCTATAAATCAATAAAACATAAATTAATAATAAAAAAATGTATAATTAGATATTTAAAAAAATTTATTTATTTTTTTTTTACATATTATATCCATAAATAAGAAATTTGAAAAATTTTTAAATTTTTTTTTCTCAAAAACTATTGCACAATTTTTTTTAAAAATTTTTTTATATAAAAGTTTAGTTTTTAAAGATTTTAAATATATTTTTTATTTATATAATTTTCTATTAATTTAATTTAATTTTTAATTTTTAAAGTTGTCCATAAACTTTTGTCTACTCTCTATATATAGTATCTTATAATTTATATATTATTAGTAGTAACAGGATTTTATATTATATTTTTTCAAGCTCAAAATTATATTTTTGCTCTATCTTTATTATAAAAGCTTTAAATACCTTTTTGATTTCTTTTATCAAAAGTTTATTAATATTTTAAGCTAACTTAATATTGTAATCTTATATTATTGTTTTTTTATATACTATATAAAATTATATATAAAAAATTATATATAATTGAAATATGCTATATATTATATATGCTATTGCATATGCTATATATTTTTATACTTGATTTTTGTTCAAGATCTTTATTATCCCTTGTTCAATTTTAGTAGCATTTGCTCTTGTAATATTGTCCATTCTAGAATAATCTTGTACTACAAATCTGTTGTTGCACCTTTGGTACATATTGCACATATTGCACCTTTACTATTTCTAGAATATTTTTATTTTATTTTATCTTTACTCTTTATATTATTTTCGTTAAAGTATTTATCTATGTAACTGATAGCATAGTTGAATATTCTGATGAAAATAGTATCTATACCTTAGTTTACATTTTTATCATAACATATATTTATTCTGTAACAAATTATATATCTAAAATATGTATATAAATGCCTCCAATTTTTTCTGAAATTGCAAGATTGAAATTTCCTCTTTATTAATAAAATAATTTGACTTTTACAAAACAAATCACTATTGCCCTCTTTCGCTTAATCTCATACACCTTAGAACTGTACTAATTTTAATATACCCTTATGAACTTTAATATATCACATTGATTTATCTATACAAAATATCTTCTTGCTATTAGTTTTCTATCTATATCTTTCTCCTGAGGTAAGAGATAGATGACAAATATATAACAACTAATTATACTATCAATTAATATTATCAAATATATATATTAGATATTTAGCATCTTACTTTGTAAAATATATTATATAAATATTTTAATAATATTATAATATATAAAACTCTTTCCTGAAAATCTCGCATTCAATAAAAATTACCAAATAAGAAAACAAAAATTTCATCGTCAAGAAAAAAAACCAAAGATCCTGGGGGACTTTCCCCCCTCAAGGGTCAATTAACAAACCATGAACACATTCTCCTTGATGTCCTTGTAACCAGTATTCAAAGTTCACAAGCCGTTATTATTTATAAAAATACAAAAACCAATAAAATTACTGCTACCCCATCTGCTCAATCAGCTCACCTTCCAAAGTTAGGAAACTGTTCAAAAGTTTGGTTAACTTCTGTTTGCTCTATACAAAGTGAAGTAGAAAGTATTAAAATCATCAATGTTTCATTCGAAGATTACCAAAGAACAAGACTCTCTGCAATCAAACACTTGTTAATATCTCAATACCTGAACTAAAGATGGATCCCTAAATTATTTGTGAGAACATAATTCAAATGTCCTTTACTATTAAAAATTTTTATTTCTATATTAAGGAATAAAAAAAAACTACCTACAAAGGTTCTTTATAATTTTAAGCATCTATACAGATCATTTCTGGAATTATGTCCCTATTGAAGTAAAGAGCTAGGAATTATGTCCTCTAGGGGACATGGACATAAAGGGATGTAAATTTTATATGCTAAATACTTTAGGGACCCATCTGTAATCTGAATCAATATCATTAAAAGACTTCAATTCCTTTCTCGACTT